GGGGGGTTGTAAAAAATTACTATTACTGTCTAGAAGATGAAAGATCACATTATGGAAATAGATGTTTTCTATTACACAAAGATGTACTTACTATGTGTAAGAACACTGAAATGTCTGCTTTGTGAATACAACTGTTATATAATTCCTACCTCAAAACAGCTTAAAATTTAAACTTAAAAGCACGATAATTTAGGGAGCATCTGAGATCTTGCTCCTGGCATATGCTATCAGTTTGGCTAAAATAAACTCATAAAAATTCAAAAACAACAACAAAACACACACAAGATAATTTAAACGAGAAACATTAAATATAATATAAATACAAGGCAGTATTAAATGTTAACATGCCAGATGCAATTAAATTATTTCTAAGTTACACAGACAATAAGGACCAGGGACAAATGAGAGAAGAGCTTCATAAGGTTGGAAACAGGAAAGAGCACAGAGGTCACAATGGTCAGGGAAAGCTACCTAAAAACTAACTTCTGAAGAATGGGTGGAACTTGACGAGGTCGTGGGAGACAAGAAGTCACAAACAATGGAATCTTTGACATTGAGGCTAACCATCTTACCGATAAAATAAAATATCATAAACCAGCAACATAACTTTCATAGGTCTTCTGCGCGTCTAGTTATTGAATATTAGATCCCCAAGACTTGTGAGCACACGGGAATGGTCTGTCTAGTTTCTGAACTGAAACACTGAATGGCAGGAATTTAGAGGTGAAGCCTGGAGTACAATAGCGAAATGCAAACATCAATCCTTTGGGTCTGCCCACTAAACATTCCATCAAGTTGGCTTCTGGGTGTCCCACTGACAAGCACTTTATTAACAATGTTAACACACACAAAGCACTGGGCTAGGAGTGGTAGCTCAGTGGTTCCCAGCGTAGGCTGGGTTTAGAGCTGGGCTCACTGCCTAATCGCCACGTGGGAACTTTGTCAGAAACAGATTCCTGGGCCCAGCTCTGGGGATGCTGACTTGGTTAGCATGAGGTGCGCCTGGAAAATCTGTATTCTGATGTACAGCTATAAGGAATTGAAATAGAGCGTTTGAGTTTGCAAGAAATTTGCAAAATCTTTGGAATGACACAAAACACACATGGATATAAACCACTAAAATAAAACATGTTCCACATGACACACTGAAAATGCTTGATAAGTGCTTTAAGCTTTAGTACTAAACACGCTGTATGGTGAAGCTGAACAGACTAACAGGTGTAAGGTAGGGAGAGAATGAGTGTCTGTGTACACGTCGTAGCAAATATTTCCCAGAGTTGTGTGTGTTGG